CCAAAGGCAATCTTTCCGTTTTGGGTGGATACTGGTGGGACAAGTCACACACCAACTTCTCATATCTCTTGGATGCTTCTTTGGCTAGATTTCATCATAGCAATGGACCACAGAGCCATAAAATGGCAGCTCATGCAGATGCATTGCCTAATTATCTCTTTAAGGAGGAGTCAGAGCAGTGTGATAGTATTTGTACCAGCCACAGCAGTCTGGCAGAACAGGGAATTTTGGTAGGGAGATCACGCTGCTGGAATTCCTGAGATATATAAAAAGATTTGTTATTTAACTTGCCAGCAACCACTACTTACTCCACAGTGCTAGAGAACATGAAGGGCCTTTGCCTCCTGCTGGATATGTTCTGATTCTTCTCTGTCTCTTGCCTTCGTTTTCCAGCCTCTTTGAATTCCCAGATGTTTCAAGTCTTTTGGAAGGTCATCTTTTCTTTGGTCTACTATCACCTCTGTTGTCTTCTGATTTCTCTTTTTACATTTTATTAGCAGCCCTTCCTCTGCATACCCTCATCTATTTACATCTATTAATCTCTATGAACGCTTCAATGTTTGGAATGCTACTTATTCTCTTCTTTTTATTTTCCATAGTACACATGCCCGCACCCTGCTTTATAGACTTCCCTCAACACCTTCCTTACATTTAAAGCATTTCTTAGCTGCTTGTATTAGGAGAAAACCATACAAGTAATCATGTGTGTATGGGCTGTGGTTGGCTTCCGTCCCAGATAGTTATCAATCTATTATTGTTTAAATGGGGCAGAAAACAAGCTTTAAAACAAGCCTTCACTGACATCAGAAGCTGCAGGCACTGAGGGGCAATTCATTCTCAAATTTCTATAGAGAAGCAGTCGAGTTGTTTAGGTAAGATCTTTTTACTATTATGGTCTCATTTTACATGGGGTGTATTGCCCCCTGTACAGCGTGAAGGACCATTTTTTTGAGGTGCCCAGAGCTGCAGGAAGAAGCATGCGAGCAGCTCATGCAAGTCTGTGGAGACATTGGAGCTCACACACTGCTTCCCGCAGGTCTAGGTTTTGACAGGCACATACAAACAGTGTACAGCCTCAGACACATGCATAATGGATCCAGGTCTGTACACCATCTGTGTAAGGCTGTCAAAACTCAGAACTGCAGGAAGCCGCATGTGAGATTGCACAGCTCCTGCGTCTCCATAGACTTAGATGGGTTGATGCACACTTCTTCACACAGCTCTGGGCACATGAAAAAACGGCCCTTCACGCTGCCCCCGAGTGGATGAGACCTTACTGTACACCTGCTTTGTGGTTACATTAAATATTAGGAGACACGCGGGCTGCCAAGTCACTGCTGGCAGGGTGGGGGGAGCACAATGAGCTTCTGCAATGACTGGAAGTACTTGTTATTTGTTATCTTGTTTTTTGAGTTTCTCTATAGTGCCTGCAGCTACAGAAGTCAGTGAAGGCTTTATTTAAACCCTCTTTCCTGCTTGTTAAGAGAGTGTAAATATGTGAATACACATAACCTGGCCACAGTTCAACCTTAAAGGGCCAAATTGACACATGGATGCAGCTTTTAACTAACAGTTGTCATTGTTCTCTGCACAATATGGACAATCAGCATAGATGAAAACATCCATATCTGTCAGATTTGGCTGGATTCCCTGCCAGTAAGAATGCTCTTGCATTCCAGTCTGCATATGTATAGACATCCTAAAGTGTTTTGTTCAGTGTTAAACACTCCACCCGCTGTTAAGTGGTTCAGAATCTTCACACAGTCTTGAGGGGCTGCTTATCCAAAGGCTCTGGGGCTCCCATCACGTACATAAAAAACAAAGAGAACAGAGCGCCACCTCCGTGTGTAAAATCTTTTATTAAATGAATAAAAAAAGGGGGTATATGTACTCACAAACACATGTTTTCGTCATGCTTGTCAAAAAGCCAACGGCCAAACTGTCCGTTAAGCCAGGATAATTTCGCCCCGACTACATAACACGGCTGCCTCTGGTCACATTCACCGTCCACTGGCCACAGACGCGTTTCAGGGGCATGCCCCCTTCCTCAGAATCTGAGGAAACTTATCAGGCCTTTCCTTCGTTTGGCAGCTAAATCGGAGAAACTGCCTTTAATATTACAATCTGAGAAATCTCAAGATTAAATATTTAAACATTATTAAAAAGAAGCATCAATTGCATATTTCTGTACCCACTAAGATGATTAACTCTGAAAAAAAGAAAACTCCTATTGCAGGGGATGCCTCCGATATGATGTTTATCTCTGTGCAGAATCTTGTGGAAAAGCAGTGAACCATTCACAAAAGCAACAAGGAAGATTTCTGGGGGAGTTCTGTACTTATACAGTGCATCGAATGTCCCAAGGGGCATTTGATTTTGTCAGTTTTAGAAAACCATGACAACTCCAGATAAAAATGCAAAAGCAATTTTGACAGCATTAAAATACAAATTGTCTAGTGCAATAATTATAAGTGTTATATTTTTATTGTAGTGAACCAGGAGCAATGTCTGACAGAGGATAGCGTAGAAAGCCTCTATGCATTGCTTCATTACACGGAGCACTATGCGTATTAATATTTTGTTATCACAGGTTCTCTTTAAAGTGGACATGTCATCATATATTTTTCCTATGTTAAGTGCAGCATGATCGGTACTGGGTCAGTGTACCACCAAAAGGTATTTATCAACTCTTACTGAAATCACAGGACTTCTCCTGACAATTACTTAATCTGCTTTTCTTTACAGAAGAATGGAGCCATCTTTGTTCAGGCATCACCCAGGGTCATTATCTACCTTCTGGGCTAAGATGCCAGCTCAGAGAGGACACAATCATGCAAACTGTGGTGCCTGTGCAGTTCATGGCTGTGTTCACAAAAATCTGACAAAAATCAGTCCCTGCTACAGCCTCTCAATGCTACAAAGTTACAGTTTTGCAGTCTGCTCAGTGGGGGAGAGGTGACTGAGAAAATGCCTACTTGAGCAGAAGGATGACAGTATCCCTGCCCAGCCACATTCACTGGATTGGTGGTCAAGAATGATATTTCTTAATGATACTACTAATGTATATTATGACATGTTAGTAATTTATTCATGAAGATTTCTAAAGTTACTGAAAGGTCCCCTTTAAAGTGACACTAAACTCAGGAGTTAAATCTTAAAAATGTATTAAGTACCTTAACTATTCACAAAAATGTATCTTATTTGTGTATCACTCGGCTGTAGATCCTCAAATCATCTCTGAATTGGTGCTGACACTGTCCTTCCTTCTGGAGAGTGGCTACTTTTGTTCCACATGGCCCCTGTGTGTGTTGTACAGTAGCCACCGCTCCAAGCTTACTCTGGTATTGGACTACAACCTCACATTTAGTTTTTACTAATTTGTATTGAGATTGTAGTTCATCACAGGAGTGAGCTTGGAGCGGTGGCTACTTTACAACACCCACAGGGACCATGGGGAACAAAAGTAGCCACCTCCATGAAGGAAGTACAGTGTCAGCACCAATTCAGACATGATTTGAGGATCTACAGATGAGTGATACACAAATAAGATACATTTTTGTTAATAGTTACGGCACATGAATGCATTTTTAACATTTAATTCTTGATTTTTGGTGTGACTTTAAATGTACTGACAGTTAACTAAGCTATCACACGTGTTATTTGACATAACAGCAATACCAGCTAATGAGAGCTGCAAATAACTGTCACGTGGCTGCAAATAAGGCCAGTCGTGGCAAATAGCGAACGAGTTGGAGCCGAATAAATGTGAGTTTTTATTGAGTTATTTTAAAAAGTGGGTTAAGCAAACAGAATAAAATCATTGAATTCTGTTAATATATAGCTTTCCTCCGATCTTAAGTAATTTTCCACCTGAACTTCACGAGCGGATCTAAAAATACACGTGTAATACATGAACGCATTTAATGGTGGTAAGTGGAATTTAGAATTACATGAAGTCCGTGCACAAGATGGCAAAGTAACAGTCTGGCTAAAAAGCGGACACAGCACATTGGTAACAACAGCATAAACCAGAATGACGTTTACGGAGCAGCTGCCAAAAAGTGAAAGTTTAAAAAAAAAAAATCTGAAGGGAAAAAGCCACTAGAGAAAACCTCAGAGATGCTGAGCTCCCAGAGTAGCCTCATGGTGCAGCAGCCTCTAATGTCAGTGTGATAGGATATTCCAGGAAGGGGAGAGGCGAGAAAAGACTGTGTGGGATCTGGACAAATAATAAGACCTGCTCACTGCACACACTGGACAGAACCTGGTGTCTGTCAATAAACATCCACGCAGGAGGCACCCTAGACCCTGCTCTGCCCTCCACATCTCGTGGCCAGGCTCTGAGGGCGTTAGAATCTATTACATTTTACCAATCCATATGAGAACATACATTAGACTTTATTGTTGAGTTATTGGAAGAACACAAAAAGCTCCCTCTGGCTCTGATTTTTTTTTTTTATTCCAACATAGTTGCAGAAGTAAAATCTGAAGATGTGGGGGTGGGAGGATTGCCCCCTCTGCGTTGGATTTAGTGGCTGTCATGCAGAGAAGGATTGGGGAGGAATTGTACAATGACTGAGCTGGTCTCTATGGCCATTAAGGGTATTAATCTCTCTCTCCACCTTCTTTCTCTTTGGCCTTCTCTGATGGAAAGACAGCTCCTGACCGCTGTGTCACCCACTCAGTAGGGGCAGAATATGTCCCCGGGTCCTCATTGTTAGTATAAGCTGAGGTCTACTTATTCAGTGCTGCCTGGAATCCTGTCTCCAACTTCCACTACATCTTGTGTATCGTTGAATCCAGGAGGACTCATCCCTGACAATCCAGGAGTTAAGCGGCAAACAACATAACTTTTTTGGCAATTGAGAGATACATACTTCAAGTGTTTGCTTTTAGTGCACACTGACAGCCATTAACAGGTGGATGTAACATGAGCAGAGGCCACCACCAGTGATTTGCATCTGTCCTGCGCTTAGGCACCTGCCACCCTCCCCGAAGACATGAGGATCCTTACTTTCCTGGTCGGCCTTAAGACTCTGTGGGTTCTGGCTTTCTCCTCATTATCTAATACGATGGCTGTGAATAACAGTGGCAAGTGGTGGTGAGTGATACCTGCCTATCTGGCAAAGCTGTCAAAAGTAATATGTGTTTGATTTAATAGCGATAATGTAGTAAGCACCTGCAGTGCGTAAGCATGCCCGAATGTTTAGTATGACAATGTTATAAACTTTATATGTCTAGGATTTGCTTATTACAAGCTAAAACTGAAAAATGCAATGTTCATTAAACATGCAGATCAGGAAAAACAAAATTGTATGCTCTGCTAAAAAAACAAATTGCATCAGTTATATATTTAGAATTTCTTATACTAATTCATATACTGCACACCGCCTGGCATACTATTTCCAAAGCTTAATAGCTGCTGAAAGTAACCATTTTAATAATAAAATGCTCTATGCAACATACCTTACATGTACTGTTTGATGACCATCAATTCATATAATCATATTTTAATGTAGGTTAGAAGATAAAAGCTAACATCAGATTGGGTCTGTCAGTTGCCATTTTTTGTTGCTCTATTTTTGTTAAAGTATTTTAGCCTAATTGTACTTGGTCTGCTGCCATATACTGTACAATTAATTTATCCCATTGACAATAGAATAATGGCCTTTGGTCTTGCCTATTATTTGTAATCACAAATCGTTTCATATCCTTTTCAGTACAATATCACATTTTAGCTGCATTCATAATAGTGCAGAAAAAAACATTCTGTAGCACAGTTCACATTATTTCAGCAGTGTGTACATACAGATCCATCTGTATTCAGTTATACAGTACATATAATAAGTATGTCCAGCTTAAAAATGTTTTGTATAATTGGGCATCATAACTACATTATGTATCGTTAATAGTATTATATATATTGTACTTTTTATAGAGCAATCTTGTGTAAAGTTCACCCAATCATAACTCTTCTTTCAGTATGGTGACATTAGTCATTTAAAACTTGATTGCTTGCCATGGTTTACTGCACTTTGTGCATCACTTTTAAACTTCTCGCTGCTTTTTAGAATAAACCTAATGCTATCTGGCCAAAAGTCCATATATTTGGTATAATTGATCTCATCTTGTCTAATTTCATACTAAACTTAAATTGTACATTCTTTCAATATAACTCTCTTGATGTCCAATTTACCTACACTGACTGTATCTCATCTACATTCAGTATCGCAGTGTCCCTTGCATTCATATGTCACAAGTAACAGTGCATTTAATCTGCATTCATTACGGTGCATCTTGCATACACTTATCATGACAGTGCATCTCCTTTCATCTATTCCAGCGTCCCCGTATTTAAATGTATGAGAGTATGTTATAGCCTAGGTGCTCAGCCTTTGAGCTGAAACCTTAAATAGGGCCCCACAATACATTTTTACGTTCCAAAGATTCTTAAACAATATTCACTGAACAGGCTTCTACTGAGAAACTTACAAATGTAGAAGTTGCAGAAAACCTTTTTTCTTTGCACTTGCAGAAAAAGGCTGAGCACTTCTGCACTATATCATCCATTCTCAACATACTTGAGCTGCAATGTTACATTACAATACCTCTACAGGACACATTTGTGGCATGAGCTACAATACTACAGCTACAGTGCTCTTAACCATCATCAAATGAAGGATCTTGTGGGTGTACTTTGCAGCAATGTAATAACAGCACATATTAAGATATTATCTCTACATTCCCCTTTGACAATCACGTCTCAAATATAAGAAGCAATTTATCTTATTTGCATCTCCATTATCATTTATATATATTTGATATCATTTATATGTCTTATCTGTGGTCTCTGCATATGGTTGTGTACAGTATGACAACATAGCAAAAAAGCAATGTAGAATGTACGCAACAGAGTTCAAGGCTGATAAGAAAACACATGGAGGTTGTGATTACTTTTTATTTACATAAACCATCATACATCATACACTTATCATTATGGTATGCCAACATCATATTTTTATTTGACATTAGATATCTCATGCCCAACTTGTATGACACGCTGATCTTTACAGTCAAGTATAATAATACAGTTTGACCTATTCCTGTTATATTTTATTCCTTTACAGCATCAACCATTGAGATACATTTTTATCAACATTTTTACATTTAAACTGGTTTCACATGATCTGTTTCTAAATAGCTAACTATATGAAACCATGATTACCACTTCCCTCTCATGCATCATCAAGTGATATAAATCTAACCACAGCCATGGTAAGATAACACTCCAACTTACACGTCCATGTGCACATAGGAGAAAGCTTGTGGTTTCCATAGAATAAACCCAGCAGAGGTGATATATTTAATAGTTTAGTAATTACAGGGTATGATTGTCCAACTATAACTGTGATATTTATCTATAGACACTGATTGCCGTAAGAATTTAGAAATGTTCCTATAGAGTATACATATGCTGTAATTCTACACATCAGCAGTAAATATTCTTACTAATAATAATGTACATATTGTAATGTTTGCAATGCAATGTAGGGATCTTACACATTACATAGCAGGTCCAAGGCCATATGAAGGCCTAAATCAGCAGCTCATAGAACTTGGAAGTGATTTCTAATGCTAATTTTATGGGGCTGATTTACTAAAGGAGCTGAGAATCTTTACTCAAAAAATGTGTGTGGATAGTCACTTCAATTATCCAATCACATGAAAAGCCAATTCCTGTTCGTTTTCAATACCCAATCATGTGCAGATGCTTTTCACATAATTGCATAATTGAAGTGAATATTTGCACAATTCTGAACTTCTTTAATAAATGAGCCTAATAATGCATTGGAATGCTGCAGGTTCAACTTAACCTAAGTGCCCATATGTTTTACAATAACAGACTATTCAAATTCAATAAGAAAACCTGTAGGTTTAGGTCAGTATAGGAATATGGAATACGGAAGTTGCCATCAATGGACTCCTTCTGAAAATACTAGTTGCCTGGCTTTTTTTGGCTGGGACAAGCCTACAGACCAAAAAATATGAGAAAAATCAGAACTGCTAATCTGCATTCTTATTCCAGGTCATTAAGGTCAAAAGTAATGAAGCATGGCAGCCAGGAGACCAGTATTTTTAATAGGACAGGTCAGAAATGGCAGCCTACATTTCTACTCAGTACAACTCTAAAAGAAGTAACACATCATAATGTAGCTTCAAGACCATCAATGACCATCGAATATAAGGATATATTTTATAGGGTATTAACAATATGTGAATGTGTTTGTCTATTTACATATGCCTGTACTAATTTATTAACAGATGATTGCACATATGGCTAATCTTGACCATGTGTCTTTTTACAGGGGTATAGTGAATGTGGCCTCTTCTGGAAATGTTCTTCCTGGGTCAGACATGGGTCCAGTTCCTCTGGTGCTAGATCCAAGTCTTCAGCTACTAAGTCGCAGACAGAGACGTCTTATCCGTCAAAATCCAGGTATTCTGCAAAGCATCACCCGTGGGCTTCTCAGTGCTATTCGAGAGTGCAAGTGGCAGTTCCGAAATCGCCGTTGGAACTGCCCCACCGGGCCTGGAAACCAGGTGTTCGGAAAGATCATTAACCGAGGTAAGAACTAAGAACTGGTTAACAACCAATAGCAATTGGTTGTTATACTGTAGCAACTATAATGTCAAATAATTGCTATAACTATGCTAGTACTTTGATTAAAAATAACAAAGCTCTCTCTCTTTCACAGGTTGCAGAGAGACAGCCTTTGTGTTTGCTATTACTAGTGCTGGTGTGACTCATTCCGTGGCTCGCTCCTGTTCTGAGGGCTCAATTGAGTCCTGCTCATGTGATTACCGGCGTCGGGGTCCAGGGGGACCAGACTGGCACTGGGGAGGTTGCAGCGACAATATTGACTTTGGAAGGTTCATCGGAAAAGAATTTGTTGACTCCAGTGAAAGAGGGAGAGACCTGAAATATCTGGTGAACTTACATAACAATCAGGCAGGTAGAATGGTAAGTACACAACATAACATTATGAACACATTCCTTGTTTTGTTCTATGAAGAAATCAAGCTTTCATTGTGTCTTCAACAATGACCATATAGAAAATGTATATTTTTACCTTCTGTATATATACACTTTTCGTCCACAAGATGTTATAACTGTGTAGATCTGAACAAGGAAATAGGTCACCTCCCATGATGCAATGAAAGCTTTTTTTGCTCCTTCCACTGTAGGATTTGGTGTTACTTAGCAATAGGTAGTACAGACACAAAGTAGGAGTTTTTGGCAAGCTCTGAGCTGCATTTTATCTGCTCTCCTGTTGTAAGGAAAGAAGGTAATAGGACTAGAAAAATCTAGAACCAAATAGGCAATGCATGGTGCAGTATACAGCAAAAAGCGCTGTGAAATACATACAACACAGCATACAGAATTATGGAGTAGGGAATGTAAAGGACATTGTACAGACTGAGGGGCAGAGGAATAGGGTGCAGTATACCCAGTTATGCAGTGTTAAATAGGGAGTGTACAGCACAGTGTACAGAAAGAGGCAGTGTGGAATGGGTAATGTACAGTGCAGCATTCAGAATGAGGTTGTGTGGAACAGCAAATCTAAAGCACAGCATATAGATTGACATGAACAGGGAATATAAAACACTGTGCACAGAATAAGGTCGTGTGAAATAACAAATGGGCACTACATACAATGCACAGTTCACTCTTAATTTCACCCCAATACACATGTACAGTGCACTGTACTATTTGGATTGTGGTGTGCTGCATTTTTAAGGATAGTGTAAAACCTAATTTTTCCTTCCATTCAGATGCATCTAAACAGAATAAACTGCCTAATACATTTTGTCTAAGTGCAGGCAAATGTGTGCATTAAATCACCTGCATTGTACTGTGAATGCAAACTTATAGGAAGCAGACATGTTTTGGATCAAAGTGCAATGTCATTTTATTTTTATAAGTTGATATATTGCCAGACTGACATTTTCACTGACTGATACCACTGTGTATAACTTGTTTTCTGTCATATCGGATGGCCAGCGCCCAGCGGTGAGGGGGAGAGAAGCCGCTGTGCCATGGCGCCCTGTGCGGCGGCACTGCTCGCACACCCCTAAGGCCGGCCCTGGTTCAGTCCCTGCATGCAGGTAAACCATGCATGACTGGAGGCATCAAGTGGTTAACTCCTGAACCTGCAGGAGGTCTCCAGTGAGGGCTGCCTGCTAGAGTGCACTACAGATTATTAATGGCACTTAACAGGCCACAGAATCTGAGGTCTGACAGAGAGGTCTGCTGCTATAGAGCCTCCTAGATTTATTGTTCAGTATCCTGGACCATGCAGGACAGCGCGTAGGATACAGAAATTGCGAGACAGTGTCCAAAATCCAGGACACATGGCACATGGCAACTATGCCTCCTCATCTCTATAACATAGGGGGAGATGCTTTGTAGTCCACAGAATTAAGACATTCTCTATACTCCGTAAATCATGAAGAATGTGCATGTATTGAAGAGATGTATGGAATATGCTTTTTTTTGTGCGCATATATACTTTTTAAATCTCGTTGCACTTTTAATAAAGTATATTACCATATACCAATGTCTGACACCAAGCTTTTTAATGGGCAAAGAAGATTTGCCTATGCTAATCATTCAGAACTTACATTTCCTTTGACTGTAATGGACTGTATTTTACATTTAACTGATTGTTATAGGTTACTGTAAATGATTGCATCTTGTATATGTCATTAGATAAAGCATTCATGTGACCTTTTTTTGACTATGCAAAGCAAAGAAACAGGGTCACGTAGCTCCCAACTCCACAAAACCATATAATAGCTGCAGCACTGCTCCATTCAGCTGCTACTAGTGAGGTGCAATACCTGCCACTTCCTGGTATAGGTGAGAATGCCATTCACTCCCCCTCTCCCATAGGACATCACTGGTGCCTTTTGAATGCCTCAGCACTGTCACATGGGTGCACGGAAGGGGTTTATAGCCGTGGGTAAGCTCCGACAACTTGGTTTGCATGGACAAATAAACAATTATGGAAAACTTAAACATTTGCCTACCGCTGCTGATTAGCAAGCTTGGAACTACCCTGACAGGCTGTATTACCAATTTTACCGACCTTCACTGGCCACCCTGAGAAACCTTTAAAGAGCTTCCTTTGGTGTTGAAACTGGAAGGTTTACCAAGCCATGTGACGTACACCATGAGTGGAAGCCTGCTACCTTTAACCAGGCTAGGGAGTTGTAAAGTGTTGCACACTACTCAAGGCATCTTAAAGTGCCGCATTACAAGCTTGGAAAAAAAAGGGCTATATTAATATTCATAAATAAGCATGTAAATGTCTTTGGACATTATTACTGAGAATCCGGTTAAATAAGAATGTATACTAGGTATACATACTAGGGATGCACCGATACCAAGTACAGTACTCGGTACAAGTACAAGTACATGTACCGATACTTTTCCAGCTGCAAGACTAGACTGGAGAAAAATTCAAAAGTTAGGAGGCAGCTGTCATTGGTAAGGAGCATACGGGGCTCCTGGGATTTGTACATCTCTATTTTAATGTATGATTTTGTCTTTATATATATAAATAAAGGGATGCACAGATACCAGTTTTGCGAGTACTGATACTCGCCCAAGTACTCACAAGTTCGAGTACTGATACATTTTTGTTTATTGTCATGTGACAGTTTTTCTAAAACAATACAGACTAGTGATTTCAGGACAGTGGTGGAGTGCCAGAGCCAGGTCCCAGCTGCAACTTCTGCAACCCTGGTAGTTCTCATGAAAATGCCAAGTATCGGCATTGGTACGCGAAAAGTATCGGTGCATCCCTAATACATACTTTACCTCTTTCAACTCTATTCCTATAAATGTTTTATTTTCCATTTGATCTTTCGGACACTAAAAGAGCCTGAAGAATATGATAATCTAATACAGCTTGTATGTTTCACTAAATCCTTAGCAAATATCAGTAACTATCAAGTCTGGGCAAAGGAAAGTGGTGGTAGTTTTTAGAGGCAGAATTAATATTAGTTGGCTGTCTCCCTATTATGAGAAAACGGTCATGTTTATGAGTCGAAGCTGACACCCAAAGGTAGTTGTTCTTGGAAA